GTAAACATTACACTTTTAATCACATTCATTAGCACAACTATTAAACCCTACACTTTGATATGAATCAATTGTAAACATTACACTTTCAATCACATTTGTATGTACAATTAACCATACGCTGATATAAATCCAAATTACATTTTGGTTATTTCAAATTTGGGATGGTAACTAATTTTTATGGCTAAGGTATTATCTACCTTAAACCACACACGTTTTTTCTAGAGACAAGACTCGCGAGTTAAACCCTGATAGCTAAGCCCCTGTACTGACTGTACTCAGCATGTGATTTGAGAAGGAATGTAATAAGTTGCCAGTGAATTTATAAAACTTGTATGTAGTAATGATCATGCTAGACAATATGTTAATATATCAATAATTTCAAACAAAGGTCACAGCTGGTTTTCACCAAATTCTCAGTACTGGTACTGACACACATTTTTGGAACGTTTTCACTGAGAGTGTTTTAACAAGTATCAAGTTGTTAGAGGTTGTCCAAATAGTGTTGAAATATTTGAGCGAGTGCAAATGTTAATCTTTTTGTAACTTAGATAGTGTTCCATCGGTTTAGCCGCTAAAAAACATGAAACGAAATTGGCTCAACATGGTATTAAGACATAATGAAAGTCACATATTTGAGTTAATGTGTTGCAAATGGACAGAAAAATAAATGGGCATGATCTGAACTTGGTCCTATATGTGAAATGAAACGTTATGAAGCAGGATGCTAAATAAAAACAAAATATTTTCCCGAAAATATAACTGTTTATATGAGCAAATAGTTCCCACTACAGATTCTCGGTCGAACAAGAGTAATAAGAATTATATTCCTAACATTACTGATATGTTTAGAGGTTTAATATATTGGTCAACCAATATTCAATAAATTTTGATGAATTGGTGTGTTCCAGTTATGTGTGAAAATAGACAAGTTCTTCTATGGCTTTATTCCCAGTTGCTGGGGTGCCGGTGCGGATAATATCTCCTCATCATATTTTGTTTGGCATGGGGTTTTTACTGCCGGATGCCCTTCCTGTCGCAAACCACTGTTATTGAACATGGGCCTAGCCTTTGCCTGAAGAATTTTCCTTCTCCTAGACTAGCTGCCAGCCAAGGCCACGAGTTTAGTCAACTTCGCATTCGTTAGTGAATAACTCTCG